GGGGTGGACGAGCCCGGAGGTGGACAAGCCGCGCGGTGGACGGGCCACGTGTTGGACAAGCCTGGAGGTGGACGGGCCGGGAGGGTCGTCGGGAGGTGATGGGGCCGGGAGGTGGACGGGCGGGGTGGTGATCAGGCCGGGAAGTGGACGGGCCGAAAAATGGACGGGCCGCGTGTTGGACAAGCCTGGGGGTGATCGGGCCGGGGTGGTGGACGGGCCGAGAGGTGGACGGGCCGGGGGGGTCATCGGGAGGTGGACGGACCGAGAGGTGGACGGGCCGCGGGGTGCACAGGGCGGGGATGGACAGGCCGGCCCAGGCCTCCCGGCCCGAGATCGCGGCCATGCCCCGGGCGCCCGCGGAGGCCGCTGCAGAGGAAACCGAGAGGGGCCGAGGCCGCGGTCCAAGGTCACAGGGCCGGGACCCGGGGCGCGCGCGGAGCCCAAAGGCCGCCGGGGGTGGGGGCGGGGCGGGACTCGGCCGGGTTTCGGGGTCCGGGCGGCGCGCGGGGGAGGGGAGCGGGGCCAAGGTCACACTTTCACACACACACACGGGGGCGCGGGGGGCCCCCCGGGCCGGGGTCGCCGCCGTGACAGGCCAGCGCGGGGCCCTCGCTCCCGCACCCGCCCGGGGCCCGGCGGCCTTTCACCTTCTTGAGCCGCTCCATTAGGACGCTCTTATTGCCTCCCGTGTCCAGGTTCCGCTTCTTGAGCTCGGCCCGCAGGTCGATGACCCGCAGGTCGCTAAGCCGACGGGTGCCGGTCTCGGACTCGCCGGCGGGCACAGCAGACACACCAGAGACAGAATCGCCTGGGTCCGCCAGAGCCTCCGCCATGCTGCGATCGCGGCCTCCGTCACTCCACTCCCCGACACCGCCGGCGGCTGTAGCGGTCTAAGCACAAAATGGCGCCGCCTTAGAGGAAAACGCACTCGCTTCCTCCCGCCCCGCTTTCCGGCCGCGCATGCGCGCCTCGCTGATACACGCGCGCGCTCTCTCAGCCGCCGGCGCGCTCGCGTGTCCGCCCACCGCACGCTCCGCGGCCGCAGCGCGCATGCGCCGTAACTGCAGCACGCATGTCTCCCGGATGTGCGCGGCGGGAGGCTCCCGCGCCGTAACGCGCTTGCGCACACGGCCCCGCCCACCGCGGCGCGCACCGCGCATGCGCAGAGGCGGCCCACCGCGTCCGCCCCACACCGCCTGCGCGTGCTCAGAAGCGAGGCGCGCTGGGCGGCTGGAGCGGTTCCTTCTCTAGCGGCGCCATTTTGTGCTAAGAGCCGAGGTGCGACCGGCCCGGTTCTGTGTGAAGTGGGCGGCGGAGCCTGAGTCCCTGGAATGGCGGAGACTCTCTCAGGCCTAGGCGATTCGGGTGCGGCGGGCGCAGCGGCTCTGAGTTCCGCCTCGTCGGAGACTGGGACACGCCGCCTGAGCGATCTGCGGGTGATCGACCTGCGCGCGGAGCTGAAGAAACGTAATCTCGATTCTAGCGGCAACAAGAGCGTTTTGATGGAGCGCCTGAAGAAGGTGCGCGGCGGGGGTCGAGCAGCGGGGAGGGGGCCCGGTTAGCGGCCTTGCGGGGCCTGGCCCTGCGCCCCCTCGTTTTCGTGGCAGGACCCCCACCCCCCACCCCGGGCTCCTGCGGGACCTTGAAGGCCGAGGACGCGTGATCCGACGCCGCCAACGCGGGGACCCGGGTTCAAGTCCCACCGCCGCGTCGGGGCGGGGGAGGGTGGAGCGGGGAGCGAGCCCCCCCAGAAAAAAAAAACAACAACGCAGCGGCAACGGGGTGGAAAATGGTGGCGGGCGGCGGCCCTGCGCCGAGGGGCCTCGGCGTCCATTGTCCGCTGCCGTGGTCCGGAGCCGGCGCGGGGTCGGGGGAGGGGGAAGCTCAGCCAAGGTCACGCGGCGGCGGGATTCGAACCCGGGCCGCCCGGTCTCTGGAGCCATTTTCCTCTCGGAGCCGCGCAGGGACCGTTAGGGCGCCGGGAAAAGGAGGGGCCGCGGGGGCGTAAACAAAGAAACGCCCGGCGGGGGACGGGGGCGGGGGTCCTGGACGATGGCGATCGGGGTTCGGGAGGTCGCCGAGGGGCACGCCCCAGCAGGTTGGCGTTTTGGGGTTGGATTTGGTTCATTCCCGGCTCCCGCGCAGCCCCAGGCCTTTCTTGCGCCGAGTCCCCGAGGCACGCAGTTCGAGTCCGCCGGCGGGTGCTCGGCGCGCGGGGCCCCCGGTTGCAGGGAGGCGGGGGACGGCGAGGGGTTCGGGTGCCCCCGGGGCTCGGCCGCCCGGTCTTGGCCACAGAAAGGCCCCTTGGCTTTTTATTGCAGAGAAAAATGAGATGGCGTGTTTTTTTTTTCTCTTGTGTGTTTTCTCCGGTGAACAAGTGGTGGAGATGATGTGACTTGGCTTTCTCTGTTTTCCACCATTTTGTTGTCTGCGAAACGGGATTTGATTCCTAAAGCCCTGCTTAGAATGATCACTCTGCCTAGAATGGTCAAACCCCCCCCCCCAGAATGGTCACCTTCCCCAGAATGGTCATACACGCACCCTCCCCCAAAATGGTCAGCCTTCCCAGAATGGTGACCCTCCCCAGAATGGTCCCCCCCACCCCAGAATGGTCATACACGTAACCTCTCCCAGAATGGTCAGCCTTCCCAGAATGGTGACCCTCCCCAGAATGGTCCCCCCCACCCCAGAATGGTCATACACGTAACCTCTCCCAGAATGGTCAGCCTTCCCAGAATGGTGACCCTCCCCAGAATGGTCCCCCCCACCCCAGAATGGTCATACACACCCCCCCACCCCAGAATGGTCATACACGTAACCTCTCCCAGAATGGTCAGCCTCCCCGAATGCTGGGTCTGGAAGGCACCTCGAGTGCGCTTCTAAGTGCATCAGTAAAGCGCTAACTTGACAGAGGTCAGGCCTGGTGGTGCTTTTGTAAAGATTTCAACAAGAGGACCCTCCAGAGCTCGTCTGCTCTTACCAACTTGGGGGCTAGTGAGGCCGACTTACTGTGTCACCTCACCACGGTGCCCTGCTGCGCTCCCTCGGTGTAGTCTTCTCCCTGCCTGTCTTGGCTTCCCCAGGCTCTGGGGTCCTCTCCCAGGTCATAGGTTGCTCAGCCCCCAGCCACGCCTTGTCCCGCCATCAGGGAGACCTGTGACTTGTTGACTCATTCCTTCTGTCTCCTGAATATCTGGGGATCCAGATATTTTTTTTGATCCGTTATTTCCTATTTTCTCGTGAGGAAGCCCGAGCTCAGTAGTGCATAGTTCACAGCTCACTAGTGCGTATTTGTCTAGGCTTATTCCGTCTGTTCTTTTCTTCCTTCCTCTTTGTGCTGGAGGGACTTCTCTGACCAATATGGGACCCAAGAGTGTGGGGGGATGCAGACCTATATTCCACAATTTGTTAGGATGGCATTGAACTTTGGGTCATTTTAAAGGTTCAGAAATGAATGGTGGCGTCCAGAATCCCCCACCACTATCATCTCTTCAGGGACAAGCTCATTCTTCATGTTTTTTGTTTTGTTTCTTTCTCTGGACCACTTGTCCTGTCCCAAAATAATACGAATCTTTTCACTGTCATCTAGTTAGTGTCCCTGTCGTGGATTATTTCTCCAAGAAGGGTTAGAGCTCAAGGGACTGTGTAAAGTAACTTGCCTAGGTCTATTCCAGAGTTCTCTGTCCTGTAGGAATTCAGGCAAATGGAGTGGGTCATTTGGAGTTTTTGTTTTTTGTATCCATGCATCTCAGTTGAGTCAAGAGCAGCTAACAATGATCGAATGAGGATGACTCAGCACAGTCTCCCCAGAGATGACCCTGTAAACATTGCACCCACGGGAGACACGCTGAGGGGTGGAATGGGCCACCTCCCATGGGGCAGTTCTTTCCTGCTCTGCTGACTGCTCAGTGTTGCATAATTGACTTTACTGGAGAAGAGAATGGGGGATTTTATGGGCGTGTTTTCCTTGACCCGATGTCAGAACCTCAGCTTTTCTGGATTCTGTGAGAGGAGCACTCTTCTTTGGGACTAGGGTACTTCATCTGCTGCGCGACCTCTTAACTCCCTGATAATCTTTGAAACTTTTGGCTGGGGAGCAGGGGAGCTACTACCTTTAAAACACCGAGATAGAATTACCCCATAGCGTTTCCACGGTCTCCATCTTGAATCAGTCTACTATGTTTTTCTCTCAAAAAATGGCTGGTGCGTTAGCAGCAGCTGAGCACTTTTAACCGTTGCACCATCCAGACTGCCTTTGAGTTTGAAAACTGCTTCTAAATTAAAAAGGTTTGATGAGAATTTAGATAAGCCAGTGCTCACAGGCCAGAATCTAACAAGAGAAAGACTAAACAGTGAAACCTAGGGGTGTCACAGACAGACACGCTCATCTCATCGCCGATGTGTGCCCGTCCTGCCACTCACGGTGTAGGAGGCAGGCTTGCACAGAGAAGATAACTGAGTGTCAGGGAGGTAGAGTCATGGTCTTTGGGAGTCATCACAGGTGCAGCTGTGATCGGATAAGGTGATGTCTGATACCACAGTTACCAGGCAGTAGAAACTTGAGAGGCCAATGAGTGGTCACAGTTTATCTAACCAGTATGGGTAGCAAGCAGGACAGGAGAAAGGCTAACAGCACAGTGCTGGTAAAGTCCTAGGAAATAAAAAACTGTACCTTTTTTGTTACGGATCAAGAATAGAATGGGTCAGATTGTGATGGTTTTAAGACTATTTCAGATCCAGTGTTTGTAGTATGCTTGTTTACATAGATTAACAAACCCTTACAACAGTTTTCCAGGTAAAGACTATAATTAAATCCATGGTCCAGAGGAAAGGTGAATTTAGAGTGATTTCATAAGCTTACCTTGAAACCTAGTCTAACTCCATTGCCCGTTCCAACTCAGATTAGGAGATGATAGTGGGTTTGTGTAGGGTAGGGAGAGACATCATCTTCTCTTAGAATCTTTAGCTTAATCTTTATAATCCCTGTATTGTATCTCCTCACTTGGAGGTTATGAAAGTCAGTCTGTGTGATGGCATTTTTGGTCATTTTCCCCCTCATTTTTTTCCTTTAGGCAATTGAAGATGAGGGGGGTAATCCTGATGAAATTGAAATTACCTCTGAAGGAAACAAGAAAACAGCAAAGAGATCCAGCAAAGGTAGGGACTGTTTTATTAGCAATTGTTTTGCTAGGTCTACACTTTAAGTTGTCCTGTAAATGAAACCTTAAAGGGTAACTGGATGGAAGGGAGATCAGTGCTTTCATTGGTTTTTCTGTGTTGGTTTGTCAGCTGCCGTTAACTTGCTCAGATCCTTAAAAATTGGAACACAACAGTGCTTTGGCTTGTGAAGCATGCTACCTTTCCGTCTTAAATACCACCTGACTGAAAGAGAAATGTTACATTTACAGACATTTCAGAAACCACCTCCAAACAAAATCATTGATGACCTTTCCCTTTATTCCTTAAACTTTGGACCAACCCCAAACACAGGGTTCACTCTTCTTGGTCCTCTGTACATTAGCTGACGCACATTAAAAAGACCATGCGCTCAGGCCTCAAATCAAAGTAAAATCTTTATGCTCTGTGCCTGCCTTATGGTGATGAACTGGGTTTTAAACCTAAGAGGCACGCAGTATTGGATGAATGATTGGCTATAAACCTTGGGTGACCACAGCCGCTTACCCTTTGACATGAATTCTGTGTTCCATAGTATATTGGTCATTTTTGGCTTTGCCAAATCCATGTCGGTGCCAAAACAGTACTGGAAACGCAATACTAAATAAAACTCACTAGTTCAAGGAAAGACTTGGATTTATGGGGGGAATCTGAACAT